GAGCCCCACACGCCGGGGCTGGCGTCCAGCTCCAGCGTCTCCGAGGCCTCGAGCAGGCAGAGCTCGGGCGGCGCGTAGGGCAGCGTGCCCGACATGGCGCAGACGGGCGTGCCCTCCAGCCGCGTCAGCCCAAAGTCGCCCAGCTTCACCCGCCGGCACTCGCTGTCGAAGAGCAGCACGTTGTCCAGCTTGATGTCCCGGTGCACCAGGGCTTTGCCGTGCATGAAGTCCAGGGCCTCGGCCAGCTGGGCTGCGCAGCGCTTCACCAGGGCCTCTGGGAGGCCCTCCTGCGGGGGGATGGGCATTACGCAAAGACCACCCTGGGTTCCCATGGGCACATCCCGCATCCCACTCAATGCACAGCGCCCCTCTGGAAACCCACCCCGCACAGCACCCAGTGCCGCCCCCCAGCGCACAGCGCCCCCTCTGGAACCCACCCCGCACAGCACCCAGTGCCGCCCCCCAGCGCACAGCGCCCCCTCTGGAACCCACCCCGCACAGCACCCAGTGCCGCCCCCCAGCGCACAGCGCCCCCTCTGGAACCCACCCCGCACAGCACCCAGTGCCGCCCCCCAGCGCACAGCGCCCCCTCTGGAACCCACCCCGCACAGCACCCAGTGCCGCCCCCCAGCGCACAGCGCCCCCTCTGGAACCCACCCCGCACAGCACCCAGTGCCGCCCCCCAGCGCACAGCGCCCCCTCTGGAACCCACCCCGCACAGCACCCAGTGCCGCCCCCCAGCGCACAGCGCCCCCTCTGGAACCCACCCCGCACAGCACCCAGTGCCGCCCCCCAGCGCACAGCGCCCCCTCTGGAACCCACCCCGCACAGCACCCAGTGCCGCCCCCCAGCGCACAGCGCCCCCTCTGGAACCCACCCCGCACAGCACCCAGTGCCGCCCCCCAGCGCACAGCGCCCCCTCTGGAACCCACCCCGCACAGCACCCAGTGCCGCCCCCCAGCGCACAGCGCCCCCTCTGGAACCCACCCCGCACAGCACCCAGTGCCGCCCCCCAGCGCACAGCGCCCCCTCTGGAACCCACCCCGCACAGCACCCAGTGCCGCCCCCCAGCGCACAGCGCCCCCTCTGGAACCCACCCCGCACAGCACCCAGTGCCGCCCCCCAGCGCACAGCGCCCCCTCTGGAACCCACCCCGCACAGCACCCAGTGCCGCCCCCCAGCGCACAGCGCCCCCTCTGGAACCCACCCCGCACAGCACCCAGTGCCGCCCCCCAGCGCACAGCGCCCCCTCTGGAACCCACCCCGCACAGCACCCAGTGCCGCCCCCCAGCGCACAGCGCCCCCTCTGGAACCCACCCCGCACAGCACCCAGTGCCGCCCCCCAGCGCACAGCGCCCCCTCTGGAACCCACCCCGCACAGCACCCAGTGCCGCCCCCCAGCGCACAGCGCCCCCTCTGGAACCCACCCCGCACAGCACCCAGTGCCGCCCCCCAGCGCACAGCGCCCCCTCTGGAACCCACCCCGCACAGCACCCAGTGCCGCCCCCCAGCGCACAGCGCCCCCTCTGGAACCCACCCCGCACAGCACCCAGTGCCGCCCCCCAGCGCACAGCGCCCCCTCTGGAACCCACCCCGCACAGCACCCAGTGCCGCCCCCCAGCGCACAGCGCCCCCTCTGGAACCCACCCCGCACAGCACCCAGTGCCGCCCCCCAGCGCACAGCGCCCCCTCTGGAAACCCACCCCACACAGCTCCTAATGCTCCCCCAGCGCACAGCGGCCCCTCTGGGAACCCATCCCACATAGCACCCAGTGCCCCCCACTCTGCCCCAGTGCCCCCTCTGGGAAGCCCACACACACAGCACACAGGAGGCCCAAGTCCCTGTATCCCACCCCTTCTGCTGAGCCCCAGGCACTCACACCCCAGACTCCCATCACTGATCCCCCAGTTCCGCGTACCCCGTCACGCACGATGGCACACAGGTCCCCTGCGGGCGCGAGCTCCTGGGCGAAGGCAAAGTGAGTGGGGCTCTCGAAGGCAACGGGCAGGGTGCGCAGGAACCCGGCGTGGGCAGACAGGCAGAGCGCAATGCAGTACTCCCGCAGTTGGGCTTCAGCTGCAGCACCAGGGCTGTGCCTGGGTACAAAGGGGGAGTCAGCGGGTCCCAACAGGGGACCATGCCTGAGTACAAATCAAGAGTCAGGGTCCCTGCAGGGGGTGTCTGGGCACAAAAGGGGACTCGGGTCCCCTCCCTTCACTGGCTGCCCCTCCCCTCTCTGCCTGCTCTCCTGAGCCCCTGTGAGCTAGCAGTGGGCGCCCAGGCCACAGGGATGGCCTGCACCAGGAACCACACGCACAACAGAGCTGGCTACTTTCAAGTAAGTGGGATCAGACAGCACTTGGGGGCATCCCTGAGCCCCCACCCTGCTCCGGACATCACAAGCACCCTAGTACGCCTGAGGCACCAGATCAGCAGTGCCTGTGAGGAGAGAGCGCCCCCTACTGTAGCTGTGCCCTGCATTGCAGGGTGTCCCACTGGGAGCAGCAGTGCCTGTGAGGAGAGAGTGCCCCTACTGTAGCTGTGCCCTGCAGTGCATTGTGCCCCACTGGGAGCAGTGTGAGGCGAGAGCGCCCCTACTGCAGCCCACTCCCTGCCAGGCCCCTATACCGCCTGCGGATGCCCAGGCCTGGCCTGCCCTCACCTCGCTCCCGGTGCTCTGCCAGCAGCACGTTGCCGTAGGTGCCGCTGCCCAGTTCCTTGAGGATGGTGTATTGCTCCTGCAGCTCCAGCTGGGGCAGGCTGCGCGAGGTCACCTCCATCAGCCGCTCCAGGAACTCCACATTGTCCTCTGCCTCAGGCAGCTCCATTCCCCCACCACGGTGCCTGAGGGGAGGGGGCAGCACCTGTCAAAACTGTGCCTGCTTCCGGACCCGCACAGCCAGGGGCAGTGGGAGCTCCTGGACTAAGGCAGGGGGTGGCGCTGGGAGGCCGGGGTTCTGTCCCGGCGCTCGGCGGCCGCGGGGCTGGCGGGCAGGGGAGCCTGGGAGCCAGGACGCCTGGGTTCTATTTCTGGCTCTGTCCCAGCTGAGCTGAGCTGAGTGAATTCCCTGTGACTCTCGATTTCCCTGCTCTGGGAAGTACTCAGATATGTGCAGCTGAGAGGTGTGAGATAAACCCAGTCAGCACCTTCCCTGCCCTGCGGAGCAGCACTGGGTCCCCGCCCCCTTCCCCATGGGGCCATTGATTAGCAACCTGGCGCTGATGCGAGACAGGCACACGGAATGCTGAGGGCTCACACATAGGGGCCCACAATCCCACCCAGCTGGCTCCAGCATGGGGGGCAGGGGCTGGGTGGTCCCAATATGGGGGGGGCGCTGAGAGGAACTGGGGCCAGGTGGTTCCTGCACGGGGGGCAAGAGGGGGTATTGGGGGCAGTGATTTTCTCTCCAGCTCCTGGGATGCGGAACCATGCAGAATGCTGTGGGGGCGGGGGAGGGGGCAAAGGCTGGGATGCCTGGGGCTACATCAATAGCCAGGCTTCTGCCCGGCAAAGTGCTCCCCACATGCCCCTCTGACAGGGGCTGGTGGGAGGGTGTCATGTCCATCAGACCATGTGGGAGGTGCGCCGTGTCCCTACTGCCTGCCCAGCAAAGATCAGGGCAGGGCCTGTGTCCCCAGTAAGCGGAGCACTTGGGCGGCCACGCAGGTGAGATTCAGGTGCCACTCAGCTGATAGCAGAGCACCACTGCCAGCAGCATGTGTTTCTACTGGTGGTGCACGTCTGCACTTGCCTCAGTGCACAGGACAAATTGTATTCTGCACATGGATGGAAACGATTAGAGGGAACACTGATAACTGCTTGCTGCTGAGCTGGCCCTGGTCTAATCCTACCTACCATGGACCCCTATGCTCACAAGGGAGACTGTCCCCCACCGTGGGTCTGGGCTCAGCCCCCCCACAACCAGAGCGATCATTTCCCCAGGCCTGGGACCATCCCCGCCCAGCAGGGGGCTCCCTCTTCCTGCCAGACTTGGATTTTCCCGGCTGCTAGCCAGTGCTCATTAGCGTTTATCATGACTGGGCAGTGTCCCAGGGCCTCCTGCTGGGTCTGGCATCTCAGTGTGGGCAGGGGTTACAGAGAAGGAGCCTGCTGGCCTAGCCCCAGCCCGCTCTCCGTCTGCCTGTCTGTCCGGCTCTTCCCACCAGCTGTCCTTCCTGAAGCAGAAAAGCCAATCCTCCCTGAGCCACCAGGGCGGGATGCACAAAGGGCTCAGAGATGAGGTGCCTGGCACCTGGCCTCCACTGGTCCCCTCAGCCCTGCGCTCCTCCGCCCGTCCCCTCCAAGGCAGTTTGGTACGCAGCTCAGCTGCGGGTTGTCAGCCGGACCCCCGTCCTGGAGGTGCCTGAGCCAGGTCAGACCTGTCATAACCTCCCCTCCTCTCCTCCGCAGAGAGCCCCTGATCCCAGCCCGGTGGTCAGAGCATCCAGCCAGGAGAGGGGACAGCTAGGTTCATGCCCTGCCCCCTGTCTCCTGCGCTGCAGGTCTCCTATGTCCCCACGGGGGCTCCTGGGACTTTCACGCTTGCAGGCCCAGTAATTATTTCATTCTTTATGCACCGGGGACCAGTATGAACAGGGCTGCCTATGCTGCAAAATGACATCGGCCTAACTTACGGCACGCACAGCCCCCGCAGTAATTCGATTCCTTTTGCACGTCCTCACTACGCTGCAGCGACTGAACTGCCACTGTTCTGAAAGGCAGCAACAGGCTGTCAGTCCCACAGAGCTGGTCTACACTGCCGCTGCATTGCGCTGTCACATTCTTGCTCAGAGGTGTGAAAAAACCACACACACACACACACACACACACACACACCCCGAGCGCAGCAAGTTACAGCACTGTAAAGCAGCAGTGTAAAGCACCAGTGTAAACAGGCTCTCAGCACTGTTAACTACTCCCCTTATGAAGGCAGTTTGCCTAGAGCTAGTGCCGGGACCACAAGGCTGCATTAAAGCGCTGCCCCAGCTGCGCTTTATACTTACAAGCATAGACAAAGCCTCGGTGTCCTCACTGACGCTGTGTCAACCTGAGCACATCGCCCCACACTCTGCGCCTCTGGCGGAGGAGGGGTTATTAAGTCGGGATTATGGGCTAGGGGCTCTCACCCTTTACAGATGACTGTTCCCGTCAGGAGTCTATTTTGTCTTGTGTACCCCAAGTTTCACCTCACTTAAAAATGACTTGCTTACAAAATCAGCCATAGAAATAGAACATAAGAACGGCCAGACTGGGTCAGACCAAAGGTCCATCCAGCCCAATTCCTGTCTGCCGACAGTCACCAATGCCAGATGCCCCAGGGGGAGTGAACAGAAGAGGGAATCATCAAGTGATCGCTCTCCTGTCACCCATTTCCAACCTCTGACAAAGTGTCACCGCACACTGTTGCTGGCAAGGGGATTATTTTCTCGTTTTTACCACCTAATTATAAAATAACTCCATTAGAATATAAATATGGTACTTACTTTTCAGTGTGTAGAGCTGTCGAAACAAATCACCAACTGAATGAAAATTTAGTTTGTACTTATTTGGCTGGTGTTTTTAATGTAGCTTATTGTGAAACAGGCTACTGCCTAACCGAGTCAGCATATCCCCAGAAGACCACTGGGTACCCCATGGAGCTACAACAATCGTTCTCAACCAGTGTATTCCTGGCTGAGATCCATGGTAGTAGAGTGATTACAGCAGTGGGGGCTCCATGTTATATGGACGCTTACTGAGCAACGTCAGTTGCCTACCTTTGACCTAACAGTGTGAACAGGGCATGAGGGCTTGTCTGCGCTGACAGCAGTGCCTCAGTGCCATGGGATGTTGTGTAGAGCTCTGCAAATCTGCAGATAATGCTTTATATCTGCAGATCTCTGTATCTGCAGACATGGCTGCAGATATCTGTGGCACACTTTTGCAGATGTGGATGTGGGTATCCGTGGATCACTTTTGCAGATGTGGATGTGGGTATCCGTGGCTCACTTTTGCAGATGCGGATGTGGGTATCCGTGGATCACTTTTGCAGATGTGGATGTGGGTATCCGTGGCTCACTTTTGCAGATGCGGATGTGGCTGTGGATATCAGTTTTGTATCTGCGCAGACCTCTAAAGACATGAAAAGCTTCTTCCATCAGTTTGGGTGCTGCCCCTTCCCACGAGGCAGCAGCTAGGTGGGCAGGAGGTGCCCTTCCATCCACATAGTGCTGTCCTCGTGCAGCGGGACTGACAGCCTGGCTGGACTCTGGGACAAGGCACAGGAGGGCTGCTCTGCACCTACCCCAGTGCACCTACTCCCATTTGCATCTCCAGGCCCCAGGACAAAGGCCCGCTTTGCCTTTCCCCCCACCAGCGGGCCTGTCTACGTGGGGGATCAGGCTGGTCTAACTCCATCACTCCGGGATGGATCAACCTTTGAGTGGCATCGTTTAGAAAGCAGATCCAGGCCAGCTATGTCCACAGCGCACTACTATGGCTCTGGGGTGTAGATACTCACCAGGGCGATGGAAGGGGTCTCCTGTTGGCGTCTTTCACCCACCTGCGTGGGAGAGGACAGCGAGATGCATGGAATTATTCTCCTACAGATCTATCACTGTCTCTGCCTGGAGTTAGCCTGGCTTAAGGTGAGGATGCTGCTCGGGGGAGGGATTTTCACAGCCCTGAGCAAGGTAGTGGTGCCAGACACACCAGCCCTGATAGAGACATCCCTGGAGCAGCCTCTAGCCTCAGCTCTAAGCAGCTCATCAGAGAGGGGACTACTAAGGACTGGAGAGGGTTTGGAGAGTCTATCCTCATAAACACTGTCTATCCCCCCCATACACACATACACACCCCTTCCTATTACCTACAGCTACCTATGTGCGCACGAGTCTGTTGCCATGTACCTCCTCTCTCTCTTTCTCCACACATCTCCTCTATCTATCTATCTATCTATCTATCCATCTATCTAGCTATCTATCCCCATACACCTCACCTAACTATCCCCGTACACCTCATCTATCTATCTATCTATCTATCTATCCATCTATCTAGCTATCTATCCCCATACACCTCACCTAACTATCCCCGTACACCTCATCTATCTATCTATCTATCTATCTATCCATCTATCTAGCTATCTATCCCCATACTATCTCATCTATCTGTCCCCGTACACCTCCTCTATCTATCTATCTATCTATCTATCCATCTATCTAGCTATCTATCCCCATACACCTCACCTAACTATCCCCGTACACCTCATCTATCTATCTATCTACCCCCCTACACTTCATCTATCTATCTATCTACCCCCCTACACTTCATCTATCTATCTATCTACCCCCCTACACTTCATCTATCTATCTATCTACCCCCCTACACTTCATCTATCTATCTATCTACCCCCCTACACTTCATCTATCTATCTATCTACCCCCCTACACTTCATCTATCTATCTATCTACCCCCCTACACTTCATCTATCTATCTATCTACCCCCCTACACTTCATCTATCTATCTATCTACCCCCCTACACTTCATCTATCTATCTATCTACCCCCCTACACTTCATCTATCTATCTATCTACCCCCATACACCTCATCTATCTATCTATCTACCCCCCTACACTTCATCTATCTATCTATCTATCTATCTATCTATCCCCATACACCTCTAGCTAGCTAGCAATCTATCAATCTATCTCCATACACCTCCTGGCTATGTCTAGACTGGCATGATTTTCTGCAAATGCTTTTAATGGAACAGTTTTCTGTTAAAAGCATTTGTGGAAAAGAGCGTCTAGATTGGCACGGATGCTTTTCCACAAAAGCACTTTTTGCGGAAAAGTGTCCTTGCCAATCTAGACGCGGTTTTGCGCAAGAAAGCCCTGATCGCCATTTTCACGATCGGGGCTTTTTTGCGCAAAACAATACCGCATTGTCAACACTGGCCCTCTTGCGCAAAAGCATTTGCGCAAGAGGGCTTTTGCCCGAACAGGAGCAGCATAGTATTTCCGCAAGAACACTGACAATCTTACGTGAGATCGTCAGTGTTCTTGTGCAAATTCAAGAGGCCAGTGTAGACTGCTGGCAAGTTTTTTCCGCAAAAGCACTTGCTTTTGCAGAAAAACTTTCCAGTCTAGACTCAGCCCCTCTGTCTATCTATCCAGCTAGCTATCCCCATGCATTCCCTCTCTCCTTCTCTGTCTATCCTCTCACACCTCAGACAACCAATCTGTATCTATTTGCCTACATATCCCAGTAGATATCTCATCTATCGATGCTCACACACCCTCTGCAGGCAGGGAATCTTAGAATCATAGATCCATAGAGCTGGAAGAGACCTCAGAAGGTCATCAAGTCCAGCCCCCTGCTCTAGGCAGGACCAATCCCAACTAAATCACCCCAGCCAGGGCTTTGTCAAGCTGAGACTTAAACACCTCTAGGGATGGAGACTCCACTACTTCCCTAGGGATCCCATTCCAGTGCTTCACCACCCTCCTAGTGAAATAGTTTTTCCTAATATCCATCCTGGATCTCTCCCACCACAACTTGAGACCATTGCTCCTTGTTCTGCCATCTGTCACTACTGAGAACAGCCTCTCTCCATCCTCTTTGGAACCTCCCTTCAGGAAGTTAAAGGCTTCTATCAAATCCCCCCTCACTCTTCGCTTCTGCAGACTAAACAGACCCAAGTCCCTCAGCCTCTCCTCATAGGTCATATGCTCCAGACCCCTAATCATTTTGGTTGCCCTCCGATGGACCCTCTCCAGTGCGTCCACATCCTTTTTGTAGTGGGGAGGCCAAGAACTGGACACAATACTCCAGATGTGGCCTCACCAAAGCCGATTAAAGGGGAATAATGACATCTCTGGATCTGCTGCCAATGCTCCTCATAATGCAGCCTAATATGCCGTTAGCCTTCTTGGCTACAAGGGCACACTGTTGACTCATATCCAGCTTCTCATCCACTGTAGCTCCCAGGTCCTTTTCTGCAGAACTACTACTTAACTGGTTGGTCCCCAGCTTGTAACAATGCTTGGGATTCTTCCGTCCCAAGTGCAGGACTCTGCACTTGTCCTTGTTGAACCTCATCAGATTTCTTGTGGCCCAATCCTCCAATTTGTCTAAGTCACTCTGGACCCTATCTCTGCCCTCAAGCATATCTCCCTCTCCCCCCAGCTTAGTGTCATCCACACCCTTGCTGAGGGTGCAATCCATCCTCTCATGCAGGTCATTAATAAAGATATTGAACAAAACCAATCCTAGAACCGAACCTTGGGGCACTCCGCTAGAAACCGACCACCATCCTGACATCGAGCCATTGATCACTACCCGCTGGGCCCGTCCTTCTAGCCAACTTTCTATCCATCTTACCATCCATTTATCCAATCCACATTCCCTTAATTTGCTAGCAAGAATATTGTGGGAGACCGTATCAAAAGCCTTGCTAAAGTCAAGGTATATCACATCCACTGACGTTCCCATGTCCACAGAGCCAGTTACTTCATCATAGAAGCTAATCAGATTGGTCAGGCATGACTTGCCCTTTGTGAATCCATGCTGACTATTCCTAATCACTTTCCTCTCGTCCAAGTGCCTCAATATGGATTCCTTAAGGATCCCTTCCATAATTTTTCCAGGAACCGAGGTAAGACTGACCGGCCTATAGTTCCCTGGATCGTCCTTCTTCCCTTTTTTGATGATGGGCACTACATTTGCCTTTTTCCATATCCCATGACTTTTCAAGGATAATGGACAAAGGCTACTCAATGACATTTGCCAACTCCCTCAGTACCCTCGGATGCATTAAGTCCGGTCCCATGGATTTGTGTACGTTTAGCTTTTCTAAATAGTTCCTAACCTGTTCTTTACCCACCTCGGGCTGTCCATCTTCATCCCATCTTGTGTCACTTAGCGCATTAGTCCAGGAGCCGACCTTGTCCGTGAATACAGAGGCAAAGAGAGCATTGAGTACTTCAGCTTTCCCCACATCATCTGTCACTAGGTTACC